GTGATACCTGAGATCCTCAGTTATGCTCTTTCTATTTATTATAGCAAAAACCAGTGATTTTTATTGTGGATAATTTCCTATTTGCCTTTTGTGCTGTAGCAGGGAAGAAATGGAGGTACAGTTCTTAGACTGGATAGCCTTGTTTCAGCCAGGATCCCATCAGAGGGTATGAGTCTTTATCTTTGCATTAAAATAAAGTTGAAGCATATTGTTAGGATTTAGGTTTTCCATTAATAAAAAATTAAACCAAATCCTAATTAAGCCGTCATTCTGCCTTTTGTTGACTGTCCTTACTGTATGCAAGATGCAAAAATTCAGAGAGCAAATCTATCAGTATATGATTTAGTGATATGATTCTGTGATTATCACTTGTTTTCACTTTGTATTTTTATATCAGCATGAGAAAAATAAATATTTAATATCCCTGTGAAATGTGATAAAGCTTTTTTTTAGATTTTCGTGAAGAGTGACATGCTTGAAAGATTGGGAGTGGGAAGAGAGATTAAAATTAGTGTCTTGAAATACAGATGAAATCTGTTGCATGAAGGCAACGTGCACTATTTTATTGCTGTATATGCATAACATTAGCAAAATAATTGATATTAGTAAACAGAATTACTTTTTTTTTTTTTTAGATAAAGGAATATTTTATTTTACCAGCATCTCACTTAAGATGCTTAGAAACAAGAATATAACAATTTTGATCAAACAAACAAAAAGAAAACCCCCCAAAAATTGGAAAATATTTTGGATGATATCTCTATCTTAGAAAGGAACGAGAAGAAGAATGTCATAGGATGGCTGCTGTCGACTAGGCACAAAGACCTTACAGGTTGTGTTCTGATTCCTTGCATCAAAAGCACTTCCAAATGCTGCAGCTTCCTTAACAAGCCTGCCATCCCAACTTTGCTTTCATTCTCTTTCAGTTCTCAGGGCAGTAAATGGCATACTTATTTTCTCATTCTAATTTGTCTCTAAGCTATCCTTAAGAGCAAATGGTCAGTATTGGATATTAGAAAGGCATTTAGCACACTGAAGGCTCCAAATGAAAGATGTTTGGGCTGGGAGGAGGGACGTCTTTGCAGCATGCTTATTCATGAGCACTCTTCATTCTTCACCACCTTCTTTCCATAATAAATACATTATTGAACCTTGATTTGGTCGGGTCTTCGAAATTAGCATCTCATTTCATGACTCATGATAGAAGAAGGTAGGCTGACATTCTCATATTAATCATGCATATAAAGAGGACTGATGTGCCAGGAGGGAAATACCAAGTTTCCATTGCACAACTGTATTTTACCAGTCCTTCCCATGAACTGGTCTTAGCTGGTCTGCTGGAACCACAAAGCAGTTGGTTTGTGTATCCTTAATAATAATTTATCTGTGAAGAAAAGGAAACAGCAGGCACGGTTGCTATCAGTGTTCCTGCAGCTGAAGAACCTGTCTTCCTCCCACCCCATTCCTTGAAAGCCAGCTATTTTCTGTTTCAGCCTCCCTTTCAAATTAATAACCTGTCAAACCTCCGCAACGGACTCGCCTGTTCTGAATTGTCTTGTGGAAAATGTTTAGCTGTTAAAGGGAGAGAAATTTACTTTTGGGGTTGGTGTTGTCCCCCCGCATGAGGTGTTCTGGAACTGCAGGGGGATGGCAAGGCTCAAGATCTCTTTTCTCAATTGGAAGTTATTCTAATCATTGCAGATCTAAATCATAAAGCCTTTTAGTCGAGGTTTGTTTAACTTGGGCTATACGTGTCCAATAACTAGTAGTTCAAAGGGAAGTGCAAAGCCCGGCCTCTGGGGAGGAACAGCCCCAGCTTGGCTGAAAAGCACCTGAGGCTTCTGGTGGGCACCAAATTGAACATGAACCAGCCATGTGCCCTTGTTGGAAAGAAATGGTATCCTGGGCTACATTAGGAGGAATGGTGCCAGCAGATAGAGGGAAGTGATCCTGCTCCTTTATTCAGCACTGGCAAGGCCTCACCTGGAGTCCTGTGTCCAGGTCTGGTCTCCCCCGTAAAAGAAAGACATGGCCATACCAGAGTCCCATAAAGAGTCAGGAAGATTAAGGGGCCGATGAGAAAAGGCTGAGCTTGGACTGTTCAGGTTAGAGAAGGCTCAGTGGGGGAACTTACCCGTGTATACAAATACCTGAAGGGAGGGTACAAAGATGAGGGAGCCAGGCTCTTTTCAGTGGTGCCCAGTGCCAGGACCAGAGGCAGTGGCACAAACTGAAGCCCAGGAGGTTCCCTCTGAACATCAGGAGACACTTCTCCACTGTGAGGGGTACCAAGTGCTGGTACAGATTGCCCAAGGAGACTGTGGAGTCTCCATCCTGGGAGATACTCAAAAGCCTCTGGGACACTGTCCTGGACAATGTGGTCTGAGTGATCCTGCTTGAGAAGAGCAGTTTGACCAGATGAACCCCAGAAGTTTTGTAATAAGCAGCATTGCTGCTGGGAAAGCTGGAATGATGTAGGCTTTGCTGTTTGTTTGAATTGCATCAGCTGAAGCAGTGCTCTTTTTTTTCTTCCTTTTTCTTAACAAGGGCTAGAAAAAGTAGGATTAATGTGTAAAAGTAGTTTATGAGCTATACAAATAGGTGATAATTTAGAGAGTTTAAACATGCTAAATGTCTCAATAGCATATTGTGAAATAAAGATTAATAATGGTTTACAGAATAATGAAGCTTCACAGAAAACCAAGCAATTCATTTGCCTCTGTGCCTACATCATCATCAGAAAAAATACAGAAGCAAGACCATGTGCAACCCCCCACAATGGCTTACAAATACAAGTGGAATGTCTGTACTGCCAGATTATTGCATTTCTGTGTTCTATTTTGTTCTTTGCTGCCAGAAGCTGCTGTTTTACTTGTATTACCTACATCATACTGTTCTGTCAAAGATTAACATGTGGCATCTGTGACAGTGAAACTTAGTTTGTAGTATGACAACAAGAATAGGTTTTTGTTAACTCTAGATCTGTGGAAGAGTACTTGAGATCAAGAAAAGTATCTGCATTATTTCTCCTACTTTAAATACTTTGGTTTTTTGACATTTAGTCAAGTTCCTGGCTTTTGTATGTGACTTTGTGGATATTTTAGATCATTTTATGACCCAAGTTACAACAATTTTATATTGTTTTATTTTTCAACCTAGCAGCTTCTGTTTTCAAATTTGGATTTTAAGGGATTGGATCAAGGTTGAGGGGGAAGAACTATGCCCCTTTAACAGCAGCAGATGTATTGCTCCCTGATTCTCTGTTCTGCAGCCTGGCAATGCTCAGATTGTAACCTCATGTTAACAAATGTGCTTAGAAATATTGGTAGAGTAATGCAGCCTGACAGAGTCTATTTATTTGCCTGCTGTACATGTGAACGTTGCTTTATAAGCTACTTTTATCATATGTAGTACATATATATATGTATATACATATATATATGTATCAGTGTCTTCAGAGGAAGTACCCTTGTCCTTGAGTATGATAACTTGAAGAAGGATATTTCACATGAAGTTGTCTGAGTTAGCCCTGAATTTCAGTGTCTTGATAAAGTGCTTCAGGCATGTCTGAAAGAATATTCCAGTTTTCTCAGTTTAATCTCTGTTAGCACAGACTGTTCATGTGGAACACTGCTGCGTTTGATTAGATACTGTGTGTTTATCCCACTGTCAGTTCTGTGTAGAGGTGTTTTATTACTGTGGTTTGGAAATCGGTATATTAATGAGCTAACATAGAACAGAAAGTAAGTTGGAACTTCTGCAGGGAGAAGAATTTAAATAGATAAGATTTATTTTACATAGGATTAAGCTGCTGTCACTAGAAATTGCTACGGCTTTTAATTGAAGTTGTCAGTAAGACTACAACTTCCCCTGTACAGCATTTTAGACTGACTTTTAAGAACAAAAGTTGTCACTCCTTACTTCACCAACTTCTAATATGCCTTGTTCTTGGAAGAAGAAGAAGAGATCTGTACTATGGAGTTGAGCTCATGTTGGTTTTGAGGATCTGCATTTTTGGAGAAGAACCTGTTTGCATTGACTTCCTTAATACCTTATTTTTTAATTTTTTTTTCTTTTAGCATAAGTAATTTCAGGCAAAATGAGTGAATATCAAGATTATTGACTCTTGGTTATAGAAAACTGCCATTAGGGTGCTGCTGAAAAGAAAGTAAAGGCCTTCAGTATTTCAAAATCAGAGTATCTGACTTGTTACAAAGAAATTGTAGCTATACATAGTTTGATCTTCAGGTTTCTCAAACACTTCAAGTATATCAAGTGGAATTGGACCTAAGCTAGCATCAGTCATTTGAATAAACAGTTAACCTAGTAAGTATAAAGCAAAATATTTGGATTAATATTTGAAAACAGCTTAAAATAATTTTCTGTTGTGTTTTCACTGTACCGGCAAAGAGATTTGCATATGCTGTGAAAATAAACATGGTACTTGTTTGCCAGAAGAACGTAACTATCTGCAAAAGCACCAGAAGTACTTGAATGTGTTTAAAATTTTGCCAGTAGTAGAGCTAAGAGATTTTCTGAGCTTTAAAATCTGTGTAGAAGTTACTTGTATATGCTCAAAGCCTACTTGTATCTCCTGTATCAACACGCAGTTTCTGATATTCTCTTGCTGGTGTACGTATTTTATGTGATTTGTTAGAGAAACGGATACACGAGAGCAGTTTTCAAAAAATGATTTGTTTGCAGTAGCTATGTGTTTTTAGACTATTTCCATAATGTTTCTGTCCTTTCAATAACAGAGTTCCTTAAAAAGATGTGTTGCAGCTGTGATTTAAATATTCGTTTTTCTTCACAGGGTGCTTACACGGAACACTTTTTTCTAAACCCTGGCTCTGTATTTATTATTAATAAAAATATCTGTATTTGTGACTGAAATGTTTGATACCAAAAAAAAGCATTGGCTTTATACCAGACTTCCCTGAACACTCATCTTTTTGATAAAGGTTTTTTAGCAAGAGTGTTTATTTTCTTGTTTTTTGTAGCAAATTCTGAAATCGAAGTCTCTGTGTCTGCGAGAAATGTGAGAAGGTTGCTTAGTTTCCAGCGATACCTGAGATCTTCCCGTTTTTTCCGTGGTATCACTGTTCCAAATTCTTCAAACATTTTAGATGATGATTATAATGGACAAGCAAAGGTTGGTTGCTTGATCTTTATTTTTTTAAGTATGTTTTTTAAAATGCCTGCTAGCATATATAACTGTATCACATGTTCAAAGTACAACCAAATACGAGTTTTAAGCATGTTTTTTTAATATACGTATGTGTATGTATTTTTGTGTGTTAATATAGATATATCTTAATAGATTGCAACAAACTCCTTTAATGCCTACTAGTGTACTGGGATGATTTTTGTGGCTAGTGTTTTTCTTTCTTTCTTTCTTTTTTTTTTCCTAGTAACTGGTGAATGAAGGGTGCACTCTAAAAAAATTAAGAAAGGAAAATGTATCTGTATATAAGAAATGTAGTGGAGCAATTTGGACAACTGTTTTCTTTCATTTTTAGTCTAACATGACTAAAGAACATCTGAAAGAGTGACTACCTACTACTGCAAACTCAGTAAAATGCAGTAAATTGTTTTCTCAGGACATGTTTATGCCAAACAGACTTTTTCTTTGGTAGGCAATTCTTCTAGAAAAGAAAACTGTGATAGCTATGTGCGGGGGAAACAGGTACTGGGAAGAGAGGTAGTGTTAAGAGAGCAGCTACCTGGATAAAAGACTAGCGTGTTGGGGAAAAAGGATGGATAGTGCTGAAGGAGACTGAACAGGCAAAGATGATTCAGGTTATTCAAGATCCCAGAGGCTGTGTGTCACTGCATTTAGTGCTTTTTTATTTGTCATATTGACACAAAAAAGGAATATACTTACACAATGGACATATCCTAGCTGAACATGACCAGGCTGTGGTGTAGAAAAAAATCTGATAGCCTGGAGGATGGATCTTAAAAATGTACATGTAATTTAATAGCAAAGAGAACTTGTTAATGCTCTTGTTTTCTCAGGTAGCAGAGTTTTAATGGCTAGCAGAGAAAAGCTAAAATGCTTTTTGCATAATTGGATTATAAACCAGCTCTACCAATCTAATGAGAATAGGAGAAGGCAGGAGTCTGTCATAAAATGTGCTGGACAGGTATTTCTCATACAGGTAGGGGAGGCAGAGATTGGGATTACTGAACTCTGGTGAGGCCTCGTGTGATGTTTGGTGTTCTTGCTGATCCCTTTTGCTGGAAGGACAGTTCATGTGAAGCTGCTGAGAAGACATGCTAGTTCAGTGAGGTGGAAAGTCAAAAGCTAGGTTTGTAAAGAATTTAAAATGCATTATGGCTCATATAATGGGTCAAATGCAAATGGCTCATATATCTAGTAAATCATCTAGATACTATTTCTCTTCTATAAGCAGGGAAAAGACAGAAAATGAGGTCGAAGACCACAGATTTATTTTCTAGTTCATTGAAAAACTGAAGTCTGAATGCAGTGTCTTTCTGTCATATTATTTCTGGTTTTAACCTAATTGTTTTAAATTGTGTCTTACTTCTTTTGAGAACTTGACTAAAGGACGAAAGGAAAATCTCCAACCAGTTCTGTCAAGGCACTTCTCGGGTTTTTTCAGTTTTTTAATTTGTAAGATATATTTTAAAGTTTTTCAGTTATCAGGCAAATTTAATTATTTTTTACTATTTTTTTTGTATGTAGAAATCCTAAGACTTGGTCTGTCTCTTAAATCTTAAATACTCCTCCGGGTTACAAGAAGATAGACATACGCTGATTAAAAGATGACAGCTTTTGTGTTTTCTTTCAGTGTATGCTGGAGAAGGTTGGAAATTGGAATTTTGATATTTTTCTGTTTGATAGACTGACAAATGGTGAGTTTACTTTTGCTATTTCGTTTGTGTTTTATCTCCTAGCATAACTTAACTGTGGCACTTGTATTGCAGTATATGATTCACTAAAAAGCACAAATTTCATCAGGTAGTACTTTTTGGTTTAATAGTGTTTAATCTAAGTCCTAGTTTGCCTGGTCACTCCATTAAAATAATGATGCTGTCAGTGCTGATAATAATCACTGATTTGTAGAAGAGCCCCTTCATGTGCTTTGTACTTTCTGTTCTCTTTCAGTAATTTGTAGTAGTAATTTGATATAAATTCACAAATCATTTTACTGTCTTAGACTTTTTTTTTTTCAATTATGGGTTTGCTGGTAATTTATATGCTTGTGTCCAAAAGGTCATTTATATTGAACAAGTATTTTTCTGATAAATTTAAAGTTTGATAGTTCTATTGCTTTATAGTGCAATAAGAAGGCACGTTGGTGTGAATGCATTATAATTAGGACATGTAATAGAATACCTGGAGAATTAGGAGTTGAGGAGAGAGAAGCTGCTGTATTCACAGCTTGCACAAAATAGAAAAAGGAAGAGAGCATCATGGTTAGTTTTGTGCGCCCATTACAAGTAGCAGTAGGAGCTACAGAAGTATTTGGTTAAAAAACCGCCAAAGTATTGTTTAATTTACAGACAGACAGAAAAGAGATCTGTAAAAGTGCTGAAAAGGAGGAGGGAGGGCTGCTGCAGTGGGTAGGGTGAATATTTATGTCATAATCACAGTGATGGAAGCTGGATTTTGAATAAAATGGAAGGAGGAGATAAGCAAGTCCAGCGCCACAGCGACATTTGTGACAGTGTGGGAAGAGAACGAAGGGCAGCTCTTGCAGGTCTTACATCATATGGAGTAGGTAGCAGAATTGCAATTAGAGTGTTTAAAGTTTTGCATCCTAATTAAGTAATTTTAGGAGGACATTTTGATCAGGCAGTCTTGTTCTTGAAAGTTTTTAAGGGCAGAATGCTGTATATAAAACTCTACTGGATGAGCTGCCCTGAATGAACCTCTAAGAAACAAATTACCCAGTAGATGTTCCAAGAATTGCATAATTCATTGTGAGGAAGTGGCATGCACATGGGAATACATTAAGCCCAGTAATAAGCAAGGTTTAGCAGAAATTTTTGTCCTTTTGTACCTCAATTTCTGTCTATGCTAGGTTCTTTAATGCTAAATGAAGATTGTCAGCCATGACATTGTTTGCAGAGCAAATAATGGGCAAGCTATTTCAAATAAACATTTTGGGCTATTCTCTGTCTCTTGCAGTTTTACCTATTTTACCATTGCAAACGATTATAATATAGCTATGAGTAGGCGAAGGATATTGTAAGCTTGTAATAGTATGCGTTTCCTGCAGAAACTTTTTCGTAGAGTTCTGGGTAAAATAAGGAAGAGTTCAGCAAAATACATGACAAAAATGAGAGCATATTTACAATGTGAGCTAATCAATAGTGTTGACTTTTCTCTTTGCCTGATCATTTCTGTATTTGGCTTTCAGCTGTCTGTTTGTGATATGTTGCATAAAGTTACTTATAAGGTTGAATGTCATTGTAATGGGTTTGCATGTTGAAACCTGTTGATTTTTTAGCGTTCAGTAACGTTTTCCTCCTATCAGTTGACACTGGAGAGTTGGTGAATTTATTATCATTAATCAAAACCCGTGGTTATTACTAGAAACAACTAATGGAATCTTGTCATGCAGTAAGATTTAAAAACTTATCATAAATTGGTGTAGAAAAATTTGCTTGTATAATGTTTGTGACCAGTCTGTTTGAAATAATACATTTCTTATGAAAGAGTCACTGATTTCATGGCTTCCAATGAATTAGTATTTTCATCTTATTTTTAGGAAACAGTCTAGTCAGCTTAACCTTTCATCTGTTTAATCTTCATGGACTAATTGAACACTTCCAGTTAGATACGATGAAACTTCGTAGATTTTTGGGTAAATACAGCTTTTTATTATGATGAATATTGCTGCTTTTTTATGCCTTAACTGAAGTGCTGGTTGTAGTTTAGCAGTAAGGTTTGAAGGGTATTAATGCAGTCCAGATCGTGCAGTGATTTAAATTATATTGATTGAGACAATTTCTCAAAGTTTCTATGAGTACAGAACTTTCTGTGTTAAATCCAAACAAGTATTAACAAGTGTAGTAGTTCCATAGCTGATGTTGTATTCCATTTATTAAATCTAAATAATCAGAAATATATGTGACATTGTGTGACATTTGTATTGAGAAAGGCCGGACAGCTCCTTTCTTTTAATATTCAGTTCTGCATTGATCTTTGCTTCCCAGTGATATAGTTTCCTAACTGTATGGAATATGTAAGCTTGGCTGGGTTTGCCAGTGCCAGTTTGATGCTGTCTCTGGCTTGCTCAAACTCTTATACAAGTAAGGACTGTACTGTGGGCATAGTTTCTCCCTAAGCAGAGTGCAGGACAATTTTACTTGAACATTTGGGCCTGCAGCACTGAAATACTTTGATGGAAAGAACTGTAAATACAATGTGGAATATTCAAACCAAGAAGTACATTCACTCAACAGCTGAATGAGCTGTCTTTCTGCATCCCAATGCCATAGACAGGCACTGGTGTACAACGTCTTTCCATTGGTTTTTCTGCGACAGTCAGTACCTTTAATTTTGTGAAGTGGGCATGATTTTTTTAACTGAGCAGGAGAAACAAGTTTCTGGTCCGTTTTAGCAGGCTTTCACAGTTCCAGAGAAAACAATTCTGTGGTTACAAAGTTTGTCATTTAACAGAGGAGAAATCACATTTGGAAGGCTTTTCTCCCCTTTCAAATAAGGGAATGTTTTTGTTTTCATAATTTAGTTCTCTTTCAGCTTAAAAAAAAAAGTTTAGTTCTGTCTTGCATTTCACGTTGCTTCAAAGAGGACTCAATTCCTTCCAGTTTCATAAGTGTAAATCGGCCAACCTTAATGACTGATATATTGAAATGTGAAGAAAATTATTATAGAAATCCAGTCTTAGACTGCTTGAGTTGTAACTGAGTGTGGTTTGTCTTTCTCATCTTGCTTATCTTCTGGTTAGTTGAGATTTAGCAAATCATAGTACTTGAAATGAAAGACTAGTTAGGAATTAGTTAGCTGGTTATCAAAAGATAACTAATAGTTTTAACTACATATGATTACTCAAAGTCATAAGTCACTAAAATGAGATTAGACTTGGAAGAAGGCAAAATTTTATTCTAATTTTGAAAGTCACCACCTTTCCCTTTTGTTAATGCCTTCTACTTAATGTCACTGAGAAGAACATTTCTTATGTCTGTTCTAGTACATCTGTCAAATCAAGGAACTTTTCTTCCAAATGCAGCTTTCAGCATGAACGCAGTTCATTCTTTTCTTTTGCTCCCTCTTGTACTCCAGTCCACAGTAATCTGAAGATCAGATTCTGGAAGACTAGGACAGCACAAGTGGTCCATAGTACCATATAAAATTCACTTTATTTGGGAACTTACTGGAATCTTTTTAAGTAGAAAAATCTGGTTTTAGTTCTCAGTAAGATCTCAACATTTTATTTTTGTATATATATACATCTATATATATGTTTATACACATACATAGTCTTTCAGTGATTACCAAAGTTTACTTGGAGATCTGCATCCTCCTACTGTGTGTTTTCAAACCTGAACAGGGGGAGAGAAAATATGATGTACTCTATTCCTGAAAACATAGGGTGATTGTGCTATTCTAGTTCAGACAAACCATGATCAAAATTTTGACCTAGGTCTGCTTTATTAAATAAGTTAGAAAAATTGTAAACTTCAGGTAGCTTGTAAAGCCACAAAAAAATTAAGGACATCTGCATTCGTGCACTTGATGTGAGGAACAGGTGGGAGAGAGTTCTACTGCAGGTTGATAGAGCTCAAAGACATTTATTTTCATCATTTTTATATGAGCTGTCAGCTATGCATTGAGTAGTTTAGAGGTTATGTGATGGTTACAGTATTTTGACTTTTCATGAACCACAGCTCTTCACAAATACCACGTCAGTAATGCTGTAACATTGCAATCACAATTACATGGACCGTTTTGGCTTGTCAACTGAGTAGAAAAAGAGGTTGTAGGCATGTTTGTTTGATGGGACTGACTGACTGTAGTCAGCCAGGAAAATATTCTTTTAGGTTTGCTTGAAAGAACTAATGTGTTGTATCAGGCCAAACCTTAGAATGCAGTTTGGTTATTGTATTTCAGGTCTTTTTTCCCTCCATATTTTTTAACATTATAGTTCTTTCATTCCATGTACTTGACCTAATGTTGATACCCTTTAAAGAATTCTACCTATACTGTTTGAAGACATCCAGGAAGATGAATGAGAGAGGAGAAAAGCAAGGAAGAAGTTAAATAGGGAATATTGAATCTAGGAGTAGTTAGTCAGACCATCATCTAAACGAGATTCTTTTCTAATTTGCATGTAGGCTTAAATTGTCCTGAGGTATAAGATGCCTAAAAAAGCATAGAGGTGGCTTTCCATGACCACTTTCCTGAATGGGAAAGAAAAGCACTTCATATGGCAGAAATGCAGTGCCTAATTCCTCTGATTCTGTCTATTTTCAAGGCCTGATATGGGATCCTCCTGATGCTTTGGTAAACAGCATCATCATTTTGTATTCAGGATTGCCTCATGGTTTGGACAGTCTAGATTATCAGAGGGAGTCTTCTCTGGGAAGGTCTCAGAGTCTCTCAGATGATATACTGATTTCAAGTTGTTTAATTTTGCTCTGAGATGACTTTACATGTGGTTGATTTCCTTTAGAAAATACTATTTCTTCACATAGAAATGGTATACCTGTGTTGTGGTTCAGCTGATGATTTACTGACTGGGATGTTTTCACGTGTATGTGATTTGGGATATTGCTTATTTCTGTGCCTAGTAATGGAATATAAAATATTACTTTAAAAAACTGTTATTTTATTTAAATTTGGATATATGTTATTTTCCTGCAGTTATGGTTCAAGAAGATTATCACAGTCAAAACCCTTATCATAATGCAGTTCATGCTGCTGATGTGACTCAGGCCATGCACTGTTACTTAAAAGAGCCCAAGGTAAGGGAGTGTTCTCACTTTCATATCACGTGTATGTACAGAAATATGTGCATTTGTGTGTGTGCATATGAATGTATTGTGTGTGCATATCACAGAATCATTTAGGTTGGAAAAGGCCTCTGAGATTGAGTCCAGCCTATGGCCCAACAGCACCATGTCAATTAGACCATGGCACGAAGTGCCACATCCAGTCTTCTCTTGAACACCTCCAGGGACGGTGGCTCCACCACCTCCCTGGGCAGCCCATTCCAATGCTTAACAACCCTTTCTGTGAAGAAATTGTCCTCATGTCCAACCTGAACCTCCTCTGATGCAGCTTGAAGCTGTGTCCTCTCATCCTATCACTAGTTGCCTGGCAGAAGAGGCTGACCCTCACTTGGCTACGACATCCTTACAAGTAGCTGTAGAGAGTGATAAGCTCATGTATCTATATATACGTATACATACATGCATACGTATGTGTATATGTATATATACTTTTTGTTAAAAGTAAAGAAACCTAAGAACCCAACAAGACACTCTCTTGCTCTCTCTGTTGCTGAGGTTGTGGGTTCACACTTAGCAATGTACTTTTCTTTTTTCCCCTCTTCTGAGCTGACACTGTTTTTTGTGTGATTTCACATTGGACCAGAGTAGAGAATTGAGGTTGGAGCTGTTTAACATAGTGCCGTGCCCAAGACATTTGCATAGAATTGTAGCCTGAGTCAGAGCTGGCAATAATAAACTTGTGTATTTATCATTTGGGGTGGAGTTTTTCCCCCAGAAACTACTGTTACCCTTGCTTTGCTCATCTTTGATGTCACTGAATAGGATGCTTCTGCTAGAGGCAGTTGGTAACATTACATTAGGACTTCTCTTTGGCCTTTCTTTTTAAGAAATGGCAGAGTTACAGACATTAAGGAGCTGAGCTGGTTGAGTGTTTGTTCCTCCCTACTTGGACTGCTGTCAGGCTGCTCTGAGTGATTGGACAATTTTAGGACTAAATCCTATTCTTCTGTATTAAATTGAAAACTGCAGTGCTTTATAGCCAGGTGAGGCACGTTATCTACCTTGATGCAGATTATCACCGGTCTGGTATTCTCTGGAATAGCATAGCTCCTTATTCTGCTTCTGAAGTAAAACCAAGTTAAGTTCTGGCTCCCTTGATGTTTTTCAGGGGCTCTTTGCCCACTCCTCCCACTCAGTTTCTCAGTGCTGCTCTCAGATCAGTTGGTGCAGTGAGCCAAATCAGAGCTGATACATGATGAGCTTTTTTATGGCATGCAGTTTGGAAGCTCTGAGCATTTTTTATTTAATACTCATGATGGAAGTTTTGTGATGCTTTAGATACAAGTATAGACTTTGTATTTTTAGTAACATATACAGCTACAGATTCTGTTGCACCAGAGTGCTTTGTAAACATGTGAGGCATGATAGATGGCAAATGCAACAGGGAATATAAACTTCTGTCCACGTGGGGTGTTTGCTGCATTTTACCTTTGTATGGGCAGAATTATCCTCTCTGTTTTAGTGTAAGCTAGACTTTCTGACTAAGTCTAACTCACAAACCTCCCAATCGTAAGTAGTAACAGCTATGAGCAGTGAAAGTAAGTCTGTGCAGGTGAATGCTGAGTTAATTGACATACACATACTTCTTGAAAATATTTATTTGTGACAGAATTTCCTCCTTTGTTTCTGGCCCGCTACACTTTTAAATGTAATTTCGCATAAGAGTAGAAATCCATTCTGACCAGTTCTAAAGTCTTCCAGAGCATTAATTTCTTCCCTTTAAGAGGAAGGGTTTTTTATGCTTTCTAAAATATAGTATGTATTTAAAGCAGAATTAACACATACAGATGGACTCGGTAAATGACAGGGAGAGCTAATTTTAAGAATTTGCTGCTTTTATGGGATCTGCTTAGGAATAGTACTTCATTACCAGACAGAAAGTAGGATTTTGTGTGCCAGTGTTGATTTCAAGACTGAACCTTCTCATTCAGAAAGAATAATGCTTAAACCACTGTTGAAATTTTGTAGCTTTGAGTGGGGCAATACTGTGCAAAGTCAGTGGAATATTAGTTTTACATCTTCAAAATTTTCTCTGAATTTCTGTTGGCTGTTAATTACTAAAAAACAAAAACGCAACATTCGTGCACTTTCTCTAAGGGCATACTTGCATTACTAACATTTATTGGTTTTGCCTTGCAGCTTTCCAAATCTTTAACTCCGTGGGATGTTCTGCTCAGTTTAATAGCAGCTGCCACACATGACTTGGATCACCCAGGCGTTAACCAACCCTTCCTAATTAAAACAAACCATTATTTAGCGACTTTATATAAGGTAAGAACAGAATCAGTTGTTTTGTTAAAGCCTGGTTTGGAGAATGCTTGAGTAGTACAGAAAAAAGAGTATAAATTGTGATGTGTTTAGCTAGTGGTAGGTTTGAATCCAGACATTGTTTCCATGCCACTGTGATAAAAAAATGTGCAAATTAGCAGCATATTTGGGGTTTGTGAGTTTTAACCTCTTTGGGGAAAAAAAAAAAAAAAAAGAAGGAAGAAATAAAAACACCAACTCCAAAACACAGCAAAACTTTCTGGTCTGCTCTTGGTATACAGCTCTGCAGTTTAAGAAAAAGGCATTGACTGATAGGTGTTATTCCCTTTTAATTCGCAGAATACCTCAGTATTAGAGAACCATCACTGGAGATCGGCAGTGGGGTTGCTGAGAGAGTCTGGTTTATTTGCACATATGTCGTTAGAAAACAGGTATGTTTATCCCGAAGAGTATAGATTGCTTTAAGACGCAAGCAAGCTGTCACTTAAGTAAGACAGCCTTGCAAAACAAGATGAATTATTGCATGGCAGTTTTGAATACAAAATGTAGATGATGATCTATTTTAAGAATTCCTGGATACTGTGCTGGTGGAGTAGAGCAGTTCGTGGTGCAACGTGATATCCGGAAAATAACATTTACTGTGAGCACATTGAAGAAGTGTATTCATGTAGACAAGCACCTGTTCAGATTAAACTTGGCAGCCTTTTCTTGTTCTACCACCACAACTGTAGTTTAAAATAGACCCTCTTCACCTACTCTAACAAGAAATAATCCTGAAACAATTAGTTTGTGCATTTTTAAGAACAAAAAAAAGGGAGGGGTGGGGAGAAAAGAAGGTAAAAGCTGTTTTGAAATCTTGAAAGCTACCAGTGAAGTGTCCTGGTGTTTCTGTGGATGTTGTAAGACTTTTTCAGCAAAAGAAAACAAACAAACAAACCAGTTCAGTGAAAATGCTGATTATAAAGCTTGTATTTGTATAATAATAAATATGATAAAAAGACATCTCAATCTTGTGATGACTGTTGTTCTTAATTGTTATGCTTTGAATGTTTGGTATCACTAATTTCAGGCAGCTGATGGAAAGCCAGATAGGCGATCTCATTCTTGCCACAGACATCAGTCAGCAAAACGAGTATCTGTCCATGTTTCGATCCCATTTGGATAGAGGAGACCTATGTTTAGAGAATGCAAACCATCGGCACTTCATTTTACAGGTGATCTTTTTGGGAATATTTTTGAAAACATCATTTTAGAGTAAAAACAATTTACTTAAAAATGCTAAATACTACTTCTACCAGGCTTTCTCCTCCTTTCAAAAGCAGAACTATCTTCTAGTCATTCAATTCCCTTCCCCAGCACTTCTCCCAGGTGATGGTGAGTGTTGGTAAGTCTCATAACTTAAAGCTACTAAAGCAAGGAGAGTTGTTTTTCCAAGAGAGGGTTTAGCTTTTCTAACAACTCCATTGCAGCCTCAGAATTGTGAAATTCTTTGTCAGAACATTTTTTGGGAAAGGAAAGCACTACTGTTGTGAATCAGTTTGCAGCTGTGCTAGTGAGCTTTAACAAACTTTAAAAACAAAAACCTTGAAATTATTTTTAGATTTGTAGACATTTGCTTATTAGGTTCATATTGTGGACTATAAAAAAACTTAAACAGATGAGGAGTTCTGTCTTGTGCAAACCACTGCTAAAAATATGAGCTTCAGAGCCAGAAATGGAAAATACTGTTTGCTTACTTTGATGTTTCTTTTTTCTGAATTTTTTTTTGGCTCCTGTACCAGTGAATATACTAAATATAGCGCCCCTGAAATACTTTGACTTGCCTGAATTTCCATATTACTCAGGGATGATCATGAGATCTGATAGTTCCCTGAGTGTTTTTTAAATATTGCGGAAGATGGGTTTGGAGCGCAGATCTTAGGTAGGTTTGTTATTCAGAAAAGTTAAAATAATCTGCTGTAAGGAAATAAATAATTACAGGTGCTTCTGTTGAAGGGAAAGATGGTCTAACACTGTGTGTTAACTTGTTAGATGGCTTTGAAGTGTGCGGATATTTGTAACCCCTGTCGGACGTGGGAGCTGAGCAAGCAGTGGAGTGAAAAAGTAACAGAGGAGTTCTTCCATCAAGGTAAGAGTAGAATTCTCTGTTAGTATACCATATATTTATAGCGTGGAAAGAGCATCATGAGTCCTAGTCCATTTATATTTAGGACTAACAGGGATGTACAGTGCAGCATGGGATTTTTTTCCTTTCATGGGTTGTACTTCTTGCAAAAGGTCGGAATTACTAAAACTCATTGAAGAATCTGCTTAGAAACTGAACCTAGAATGGCTGGTGCAACCTGAAAGGTGCTTCAGATAAGTAATTATGGCTGCTTTAAATTTACCCAGTGGCTTCAGTAAATTATGATGAAATATGTTCATCATGTGTCTTCAATATTTAAACTTGAGCTGTGAGGCCTGTTGGTAAGCAGGTGAGAGCCAGGGAGGTTTTTAGTTACCATGCAGTTACAACTACTTATATAAGTAGTTAATAAAGCTTGTAATTAACAAATGGAGTGAATTTCCTCCATTATTATTAAATTTTAATAATAAAACTAAGGCTAGTTTAGTTGACTTGAGACCTGCTAATTTGCACATGGATATGATAAATGGGGAACAGACTGCTTTATTTGCTGTTACCCACATGAGGCTTAATCTTTGGTAAAGGTGATGGGGAGGCAGAACCACAAATTGTCTTTAGCCAGAAATTTCTGAACGCTGAGCTATTCTCTTCTATATTACGAAGGGGGGATTTTAATTTGTCATTTCTATGACAGTCTAGGAAGCTTTGTGAGGAAGGGGATGTTAATCCTTCAGTAAACTAGTGGTTCTATGTTTTTTAATTAGTGTTTGATGAAAAATAGTATTTAAATACAGTATTTATAAATACTGTTAGTCTCACTGACAGATCTACTTGGATTTTTTTGGAGATGGGGAGAGAAGTAAATGCATTCTACCATCTACAAGACACCATCCTGGCACAGCTCACCTCTTTTGGTGTTTGTTTTGAGTCTGGACCATATGACTTAACGGTTGTATTATACTTTTGTTTCTTTAGGTGATATTGAAAAAAAATATCACTTGGGTGTGAGTCCACTTTGTGACCGACAGACAGAAACTATTGCCAACATCCAGATTGGTAACTACAGTTCAGTTTATTTCAGTAGATTTCTGAAAAAAGGACCTTTTGGGTACATTTGCTAGAGGCTGTACCTGCTCTGTGTGTGTGTGGCAGCACTTCATAACAAAGAGCACTTTTATTTCAATTTGCTGTATAACACTTCTGGCTTGAACTGTTTACAAGAGGTACTGCACTGAGAGTCTTGGAGACCTGAGCCCCTCTGTTCCCTTACAGAACAGGTACAGCATGGGAGGCAGCTGTCTGACTTCTCCCTGAACTGCTGCTGCCCAGAACTTTCCTGGTCTGAAGTGGCTATTTTGGGAAGAGGAGGGTTCCTTCCCCTTGCTGTGTGCCTCGGGTGCCTTTTGCAGCGAGATTGCCACAATAGGGCTCTAGCTCGCTGGGTTTAGCTTTCTGGAATGTCAGCATTTCCTTTAAATGCAACCTTTAAAGAGGGTGGTGGACAGAGATTTGATGGAGAATGGTGAATAGCCATTATATTAATAGTTTTTCCTAAATTCAATTCGATTTAAAATAGTAAAATGTCCTCTTATTTTAATAAAAGTTGCTTATGTAGGTTAAATGGGACTCAGTTAAAAGCACAGTAAAGAAAAGAATAAATTTGACCACAAACACAGTATTAATTATGCTTTAAATTGACACAAAAGCTGATGTGTTCAATAAGATGCACTGGTTTAATTTAGAATGTTAGGAAAACATACATTTCCATAATTGACAGATTCAATTTTGGTCATCTTACCCTTGAGTTTTTGTTTCATGGAAGTAGACAGTGCACATAAGAGAACATGTGCATATGCACAAAGTTGTGTATAAACACACAAACAAGTATATAAATGTGTGTTAATGTTTTGTGGCCTTGTTTAAAAAATTTCTAGAATTTATATTTTAAAATACTTTTAGCTGGCTTAATATTGTGAAAGTAATATATTCTTTTTTCCCTCTGTGTAGTATAGTTCAGACTGTCTGTGAGGTAATTCATTATAAAATTCCCCCATGTTCCTCAATATTTTCCTTTATTTGGTCATTGCTGTGAAAGACAGAGAGTTAATTTGTAATCCAGTGTATTGCTGCTGTTCTGACTGATTAGTAAAATCTTTTATAGTTTGAGAGATTATTTTGTAAAGATACCCTAAATATTGAAATGGATTTTTAAATGCACATTGGAGAACAGTAGTTTGACAGATTTACATTTTGCTATTAAATTCTATTTAAAATATTTAGGTTGAGGATTTTAATTTTTCTCTGGGTTTGTTTTCTGGTTTTCATTTGTCTCTGTTTGCTTGTTTTTGAAGGTTTTATGACCTACTTAGTGGAACCTCTGTTTGGGGAATGGGCCCGGTTTTCCAACACCAGGCTGTCACAGACAATGCTTGGCCACCTGGGACTGAACAAGGCAAGCTGGAAGGGAGTGCAGAGGGAACAGTCTGGCAGTGGTGACGATGTTGACCCTACTTTTGAGGAAATGGACTCAGACATATTACCTCAGGAACCTCGATTGTCCTGACCTCAGTCCTCATGACAAAACTGCCTCTTCTATTGGTATCTGCACGGTTGGATTAAAGGAGATACGTGCCAGCCCAAGGTTTTAGTAAAATGGTAAAATGATGCCAGCATTATTTATTTCCAAGTTTTCCTTTGACACAGACCATTTGAACCAGAATTTTTTTAAGCCGCAAGATTTGAACATAGAGCAATATGCACCCACCTCAGCTGGTTTTCGTTCGGAACCTTGAATATGCAAAGCACAGCAGTGACTGAGCCTTGGAGCAACTGGACGAAAGCTTCATTGTGCCACACATGGCTTGGGTTTTTTGGTGAAATTTGGAATACGGTCTTCAAATCTAAAACTTGAGATGGATTGTTCCACTCCCTTGGAATTTAGCAAGACTTGCATAAATGTGTTCAAAGCATACCTTCCACTCAGTCCCTGTTTTAATACGGAAATGTGAAGTGCCCATCCTCTGCTGCCTCTGGCAAGACTTGATGTTTACAAATGTACTCTGAAACTGTCGGTTCTAGACTTAACCTTTGCGCATGGCTGTGAAGGAACCACTAACTTCAGTTTTTTGCTTTTTTAAAAGAAAAAGATCAAATCTGAGACTGCAGCTCTCTTTTCTTTGGATGCCAGAAAAGCCTCCCATTTGCCATAATTTTGTTTGTGCACTGGGAGCTGAGCATTCATCATAGAGCACAGCCAAGCTTTACTCCAGTGCTATATGGGAATGCAATTTTTTAACAGCAACAAAACACTTCTGAATCTGGGAAGGGCGGGGTGGGGGTGGGGGGAAGCGTCTGAACTGCATTGCGATTCTGCAGTGGGAACATCGCATGTTGTTCTCACTATTGTACACTTGAACTGCACATGCAAGAAAAAGGTGGAATGTCTAAACACCATAATCAGCTCAGGGTATTTGCCAATCTGAAATAAAGTGGGATGGGAAGCGTGTCCTTCAGAACAAGGGTACAAATGCCCCTTTCGCTGCAGCGTGTGTGTATGTGTGGGTGTGTGAGTACGTTTGGGACGGGGAGGGCGGGAGGGCTCGGGGAAGGGTTTGAACGGCAACATTGTTTTCTTTTATTTTTTTTAATTTATTCTTTTAGAATGTGACAATTTCATGAACAGCCACACTGGGGAGGAAACTGTAACAAATTGCTACAGATGCCTTAAACTATGCACAAAGCTAAGTGACCAAATTTGTTTTTGATTTGAAAAAAAAATAATAAAAAAAAGTGCATTGTTTACGTATTCCTCCCTCTACTGAAACATTACCCACTGATGGGTTTTTGATGGGAAAAGGAGAAAATGTTTTTTAGGACAAAATTAAAGGACTAATTTTAAACTTAAAACATTCCATTTTTGTAATTTGTTTTACATTGTTTTAAGTACAGTAAGCACAACTGTAATCTAGTTTGAGAAACTGGTGCTTTCTTTTAGTTCATTTGTATTTCCCTGTTATTATTGTAAAAGACTGTTTATTAATTCTGTTTACAGTTTGTTGCAACAGCCATTTTTGGGAGAGAGCTTCAGCGTAAAGCCATTTGTAAAGGCTTTGCCATATTCATTTTAATATGTGCCTGTTGCTGTTAACTTTTAATTAATAAAACAAAATCTTTTCACATTATGCTCCTGTACATTTAAGTTACGACTGAGTCCAGCGTTGTGGAAAGGTACCTAAGGTTGCAGTCAGCTTCCACTGTAAAACTAAGCCAACTTTTGGATTTGAAAATACTAGTCCTCATATGCCAAAATTTATTGCCTCTTGAAGCTTGGCCTTTTACTGTTTGAAAAGCAAATCCTGACTTACCTGATTGTTTCCCTTCTAAAATTGTTTATTCTTTCATGTTCCCTGAAGTAGTATCATTAATCTCAAAGTGGCCATGTTTAAAGAAATAAATTTCTAGTGAAACCATTCTGTTGAACCTGCGTGAACTTCCTTCCTTTGCTGTCAGTGCAAGTTCTTGCTGTTGTCTGACTCCAGCAGAGAAGGATCAGATGGGACAATGAGCTTTGGTTGTAACTTGAAGGAACAGAAAAGCACTTTTTAACAGATTGTCTTTGAAAGGGCAACACTTTCCAGTGGTGTTTGAAGCTGTGAGAACACAGAGGTAAGGACTGCGTGTGAGTAACTTACTACAGAGAAAAGCTGCAGCTAAGCTTCCCTACAGCCTGGGCAGGTTTGTAGGGTTAAATGTGGGAAAGTACTGATTCCTCTTGCACTGTTTTGAATAAAAACATGTGCCAAGACTGCAGCTATTTTCAAAACGACCACTGAAATCATTACCTGATGATGTCTTCTGTGATGCATGTGACTTGGTTTAAAGAGCCTCAACTGCATTTTAAATTTTAGTACTCATTAATTTTTAGTACTCACTGCAGGCTGTTTATAAGCACATTTTAATATCTAATGCAAATTAAGCTTAATGGATTTACAAATAGGTATATAGCAGTATTTCAACATACAGTATTTATAAAGAGCCTGTGATTCTTTCACACTGTGCCATCTTGCTGTCCTCTGCTCGGACAGGAACCAGTACAGTTTGTCAAGGTGCTTAGAGTGAAACATGAGTAGTTTTGTTCTAAGCCACCTTTCCTGGAAAGGGGCTTCTATCTTTTCCTACCAGACTGGATTTAAAAAGACTGGTTCTAATCCCACCTCTTAGTGTACATGGAAGGTTCTGACATTAGACTGAATTAAAAAAGCAAAAAAAAAAAAAATAGCCTTTTTTGACTTATCTAGAAATGCTTTCTACAAATCTGCATTAAACTTCAACATTCCTGCAGCTTGAACATTTCATGTGAGAGCTGAGTGTGTCAGGAGCGGGGTCCCTAAAGCACCACAGCCGCTCACAGCCCACGGGAGCCCAGAAATGTGCGAGGGGATGGGGGCCAGGTCCCCACCACAGACTGTCTTAATTCACAGATCTACTCCCAGCACTGTTCACAGACAGATACAAAGAGGCTTCAGGTTATGTCTACGGCCTCTGCCCAACATGAGTGGACGGCCTTAGTTTGAGCACTTTTACTGTGGGCAGTGGCATTGTGCATGTAAAAGATTTCAAGTAGAAAGATACAAATTAGGGTACAGTATAAAGTAAGTTATTTGATGTCAGCTTTGTGGTTTTATTTTCTTGTGCAGATGGCATTTCTTTTACAGTAATTTTACATCAGTGATAAGGCTCACCCCGTTTCTGGGCACTGGATACCTCAGTTCAAGCAGGCAATGCCTGGTGTGGGCTTTTCTCATGCTCTAGCCTAGTTTAATAGGTCACATGATATCCTGAATTTTACATGTTAATTGGACTGCCAGGGGAACCCAGTGTACCAGGGGATGGTTAAACAAGTACCTTCCTGCTATGTTTGTGGTGAGGCATAAACTTCTCACTGGTTCCTCATACCCTTTTTTTTTTTTTTTTGTCGTTTAATCTGAATGTAACTAGGTTAACAGTGTGGGGCTTTTCTAGACTAACTCTGTCACTCCTGGTGCACAGCAAGGTAAGCAGACCAGTCCTGGAGGAGATGGAAGTAGGTTGTCACTACATTGGTTTACAGTCATTGTAACAGAATGTAAACTATACTTTACTGTGGCTGCTATCATTTGTAGAGTACCACAAATCAAATATGCCATGTTTATTTTAACTGCTTTTAATTTTATATAGTGGCAATGGAGCATAAAATACAAAAGTTTAAAACACCTTTTTGGAAGTTAATTTTGGTTTTAAGTCATTTAAAAGAACTCAAGGATTGAATGGCCTGTCAGTAAGACTGATGGCAGAGCATTTTGGAAGGAAGTTACGTTGTGTACATATTAACAGCATTTCAAGTTCCACCCCAGAAAACCCCCTCCTCCATTGTACAGCCTACATTCCAGTTATAAGCAGCAAAGCTTTATCTCCAGTAACCTCGTCATTCAGTTCTCTTTATTAAATAGTGCTGCTTTTGTCTTTTCCTAGAAAACAGAAGCTTCTAGAGGCAGTTGTACTTGTCCCAGGAGCCAGGATCAACTTAGAGCAGGCTCAGCTTTTTCTACTCCCATGTATGGTCAGAGCAAAGCTTGGCTTCATTTCACAGTGTAGCTAAGCTGTAGCTCTGAGCTCCTGAACAGATTTTTTGTATGTTTAGCTTGAGCCTTTTCTACATCTGTGGCTGGAGCCATGAGCTGAGGTGGTTGGTGCAGGTCTGGCAGCAAATAACTGCTGTGGGGAAGCCTCAGAAGGGCTTTCCTTGGAAAGCAGGTTATGTGCAATGGCTTATCCCATGTCTTCCCAGCAAACAGGACCATGAGCGTGCGTGCAGGTCCCAGCTGCAAGAAATTTATCCAAGGACCCAAAACAGCTGGGGAGAAAGGTGTCCACAAACATCCCTTAGAGCAGCAGAGGTGAAAAATGTACTTGCACCCCACGGTACTTTGTACCTTTATTTTCTTACCTCCACTGTTTCTCCTCTAATTAACACATATTCTCTTACTATTTTACTCTGCTGCTATCTACTGGCTATTTCATATTCACTGGACTACCTGTTCACAGAGGCTCCCACAGCACGATTTACTCCTTGTCCTGCACTCTTTGTAACGGCCACAGGACGATGTAAGCAGGTTTTACTCTCTTAGCCTTGCAACCTCATTTGAAACAAACAACCCTGCACAAAAATGTGCTACTACTTAAAATTTATCTGAACTCTGCAGCAGATTCAATTTTTTCCTTTGTTTCACTAAGAAGCAAAGTGCCTCCAGGTTTTCTTTGGGCTAAAATTTTGCTTAAGTTAAATTTAAAAGAAAGGCTTCAACATGAAAATTTCAATATCAAATTACACATTGTAGTGCAAGTTACAGGTAGAGCTCAAATAACTGATATTAACTTAAGGGTGTATCACCATCATCATTAACATGTACACAGATTTTTAAGATGGTCAGTTATGCATAAAGAATGCTGTATATATAACTTAGTGTTAATAAACTAAATCCACCATGTAAGTCTGAGTGGAAAGCCAGGCTTGACTGCAAAATTAATACCTGAGTATAATGGTCCAATTTATTCCCCCTGACAAATCACACACAACCACGTTTAGTGCCTCACTTCTACTTCACATTGAGTCTTTCTGTGCTGTA